ATAATCCTAAATTACTATTAGAATGTTCTTTAATTATCGTTGATTAAAATAACATTCTTATGATTTTTTAAGTATATTTGATATTATTTTGATTTTTGTTTAAAATTTAATGAATAATTAAAAGTAAAATCAAATTAAATAAATAAAATTTAATATACAGGAGGATTCCCTAAGATTTTTCTTATAAATGACGTGTGTTTCATGAAAGTTTGAGGTTAATTGAGTTCACAATAAAAATAAAATACACCTAAAGCTAAATATAAAGGAGCTAAAAAAAATGATATTTACTTAATTCAAAATTTAAAGTGAAACCTTAATTAATGAAAAGAACATTTGAAATTAAAACGTCTCTAAACAACCTTAGGATGTCAACTTACATAACATGATGTGCACACCTTACTAGACCTAGAGTGACAGAAGTGAAAGGGTTAACCCTAGGTGGTCCCATTAGTTTTAACATTCTTCAAAAACTTAAGTCAAAAGAAACCTATATTAAAATTAAAATTTAAATAAACTCTCAAAATATTAATCATTTAAATTTGAATATGCTTTGGGTAAGAAATAAATTTAAACTTAAACTAAGACTGAAACATCAAAGTCTATTAGTGGTTCAACACATTACCCACACATAATAGAATTACTTGTTGGTCTGCCAACCTGTTTAGGTTCAAATAATTTTATTTCTGTTTTGTGTGTGATGATCATTTATGTTTTGGTTTAATGTGAATCATATGTGATGATTTCTAGAATTTCTATATTTTATTTAGCTAATTATATTATTTTTCATTTTCAATTACTGTAAAATTATATCTTCTTCAATCAAAACCCAAAGAGGAAGAATCAAATTTGTAAAATAATTAATTTATTGTTATCATTGGAAATGTTATCGTTATATAATAGGTCCCTTGGGGAATTATTTTGTATGTCATAATAAATCCAAGCACTAATCTCAGAACAACTTCAATATCATAAAATCTTTAGTGAGTAATTAAAGAAAATAGATGGATTGAAGGCAGTAATGAAATGGACTAATCATAAAGAAAATATCTATCTTTTAGAAGTTCAATAAAACTTGACTTTTGGAGGGTCTCTTTGTATGTGTTGTCAGGAAAGAGGAGTACTTAATGATTATTTATTTGCCAGAACTCAAAGTGAAATTTATTGTAGTCATGAATCTTAAAAAATGCTCTTTCGAGGAATAGGTCAGACTCAACCATTTCTTTAGAACAATAGCTAAGGGTTCAGATATTACCAATTGGTTTTGGAACCTAAAAGTTGATGCTCGCGATCTTCATAGTCACACCAACAATTTGAAGGAGATATCTCAAAAAGTTTTAAATGCTCATTTCTATTAACTGTTGACCTCATTTTTTATGAGGTCAAATTATTCTCTTTAGAAACCTAGGATCTAGCCTTAGGACTTTTCTATGGACTATCTTAGAGGACTAAAGAGGGAATCCCCACCACACATAGAAATTATAAATAGTTCTTGACTCCTCTTGTGATGTCCCACTTGAGTGGTCACAAGCCCTTAAATGTCATTTTGGGATGGTTATGACAAACATGTGGAGACTCGTGTGTGTGTTCATATAAATTTAGCCATGCCTTAGGATAACCCTGGATCGCTCAGGTTTGGTCTCGCGCACACATATACACAATCAAACGCATTAATTTCCCCACATACTCCAAAACCCTAAATACATACACTAGACTTAGCCCCTTAACTCTTTAGGGAACTCACATGGGTGGTCCTAAGCCCTTAGCCTTTGGTTAAGATGGCTAAGACTAACATGAAGAGACTCAAGAATGAGCTCTCATTTGGTGTCTTATGGTCCCAAGATGGCTAGTCATGACATGCATGATCACCTTATCAAATTTCTCCCAACTTATCCAATTTCCCTAAATTCCCTAAAATACACAATTAAACCAAAAATTCAAGCCCTCCAAATTCCATTGCCAAATTAAAATTCAATTTCACCAAATACCAAGTTAAAACCCAAATTTCAATTTTAAACCCAAAGCTCCCAATTTTGGGCCGAATGTCCAAATCCATTCCAAAATTCCACGAAGTCTAAAATCTACTAAATTTAGCCAACACACCAATTCAAACATACTAAACCTAAAATCAATTTTTGCATGACAATTCCAAGCCAAAAAACTAATTTTCTTTAACTTTTCCTAAAAGCCAAAACTAATCCTTTCATGACAAAATTTAAAAACTCATGAATGAAGCCCAACTTCAATTTCAAATAAGCCCATTATGATAAATTTCCACCTATCAATTTAAAAAGAAATGAAATCAAATTTAGACATCATGGCCATGCCCCATGCATCCATGTATGAACCCATCTACTTTTAGTCCCATGGTCCTCTCTCACCAAATTTTCAAAATACCCAAATTCCTATTTCACGAAAATTACCCATGACCTCATGCATGTCATGAAACCACACTTGGAGCCATCCATGAGCATCACCAATGTGGCAAAAGAAAGACCTCCTTTCACCTCCCACTAAGGTGACTTGACTAAAACCCTAATTCACATTCCTCATGCCAAATCAATCACCCAAGCCTCTAGAAGTTGACCCAACAACTCCAGCCACCTTGGAATTGATCTCAAGCCATTTCCATGAGGTTGAACCCATGGTTAACCCAACCTAACCCAAACTCATTGTTAACATTCGAAAAATTACAATTATCAATGCTTGGACCAAATTGATTTCACATCTCGCCAATTCTGACCTCCAATAGTGTGGGGAAGACTTTACATGGACGACTAGCCACCCTAGCTGTTGAAAAACACCATGGCCGAGGTGGACCATGTGGCCAAAACCTAAAATTAAAATCTCCTAAGTTGGCTCAATCCAACTAGCCACTGGCCCTCTTCTGCTCTCCAACTAAGCAAGCTTTTGCACCTACTAGCCAGCCCAAATGGAGCTTCCTTCCCCCTCTAAAAATACATTTATACCACCGAAATCTTTTATCACATAAAAAATATTACTATTTTAACTTTTAAAAACTAAAACACATCTTTTAATGCATACACAAGTTATGTTTAGGGTGGTCACTTGCCTGGGCCCCATAAATTTTAGATTTTTCACTATATAAACAATAAATTTTAATATATTTTTTATGTAGTTTAATTAAAGTAGTCATCTCGATATACTTTTTTGCCCAATACTTAAAAAAATATTTTTGATAATTTCACCCACCCTAAAAGATAATTTTGGTTCAACATACAAAAATGATATGCATGTGAAATCGAAATTTAGATATCCACTTCGTAAACATATTAGACTTGAGTGGTATATATGTAATTCTCTCTCTCTCTAGACATATATATGTATATATATAACTTAAAGTTTCTACTGAAGAAAAGATGAAAAATATAGGAAAAGTGTTCATTGCAAAATATAATAATTTATGGGTGGAAGTGACAACAAAGGACTACCTACTGGAGTACCAGACACCATTGCCACCGCTCAACCGATCTGCTTTGCAGCTGACTCGTCGGCTTCTGAAAAAATGGAATACCAATCCAATGGCGAGCTTCCAATCTTCGAAGATCTTCAACTGCTCCCATAATGTAGACGTTCAATTTCGTCTTCTTCGTTCAGGATGAGGACCGACTGTGCTCTCATGCTTGATTCATGTTTTTAGCCACTATGTATAGTGTCTCAAAATGCTCTCTTCGCCACAATAACCATACTTAAGAGGATGTTGGATCCAAAATTACTCGGTATGCAAACCACTATCAGTAAATAACTTTAGTTTATGGGTTGGAAAAGAGAGAGGGAGAGGTAGGGAGGGAGAGGGGGAGGGAGAGGGGGAGGGAGAGAGAGAGAGAAAACAACAAAGATTCTATTATTGCGTGATGCACCATTGTCTCTTAGATCATCCCCATCATATTATTTTCAGTTGAATTAGTTTATATGTGATTAATTTTATAGTGTTGTCCATGTTCACTAAAAGTTCGCAGCCTATGTGTTTAATATTTCTAAATTCTCCACTCTTTGCCACACTCATCGGACCTACAGAATGTTGCCTCCAAAATTACTCAATAGATACACCTCTAATGCTAGAGAATTTGAGCTTATGGTTTTGAAGAATGGGGGGAGAGAGAGAGAGAGAGAGAGAGAGAGAGAGAGAGAGAGAACCATATAGGTTAAGACTTGAGGCTAAGCTCGTTTGCCTTATTTTGCTAATATTTTTCTCTTGTCCGTTATACATAGGGCCCCTTATTTTTATATATAAAGATGTATTATGATTACATGAATGAAAATAAATATTAAAAAAATAAACTATATTGTTTGCCATCAAAGCATATTTTGCAATACTTTCTTAGATATAGTGATTCCTTGACCAAAAAGAACTTATAACATCCTAAGCAATTGATTGATAAGACAAGTTGAAGGGTATACAAGATGCCAAGCTTATTCAAGGAGACTGAGGTCTTTTTGGAGAGCTGCAGCTGTTTGAAGAAGCATTTGTGAAATTGTTGAAGAAGAAACTGGTGTTCAAAAAGTTACAATATTTTTTTTTTTTTTTGAAAAAGTTAGAACACAAATTTCTAGCAGCCACCACAGGTAGTCTGCTCTAGTGGGAAAACACAACATTCAACTGCAATATTTTGAGAACACAGACAAATCGTAATTTTTCAAAACAGGAAAAACTACGAACTACGGTGCACACCACACTGTAACCACACTGCCGCCCCAAACAAATCGTGACTGATTGTTAAGGAATTCATTATCCTATCACCACGAGCTAGTGCTGAATTGACCCGTCCAAGAATGACTCTTGATGAGCAATGTAATATGATACGGCAGCAAGTTAATGGCAATAGACTTCCGAGTGGCTTTAATCAAAATCAACTTGTGGCCTCTTCACGTGGTTTGCAAGGTCAAGATTTACCTGCCATGAACGGACTTATTAACTATCTTCATAAGTCTATAGATTTGATTTGATATATCGATTATAAATATATGAACAGTTCCCATCTTTCGAGAAATTTCCCTCCACATAACATATTTAAAAAGATAAATATGTGCATATTTGCATTATTTGTTTGTCACTTTCTACAAGATCTACATTCAAAAAAAAAAAAAAAGATGTAAATTTATAAAAAATTTCCCCATCTGTTCATAGAAGCAAGGGGAAAACGCCAGGCAGCAGAAAGATTTTACTCGTCACTCCAGTTTCCAAACAACGCAACTAAAACTCCGAACCATACATCAACAATTTGTCCGGCAACACAGCTGCAGCTGCAAGCTCATAGGCCGGACTATTCTGCATTCATGTTGGGAGGCACTTTTCATCTTTCAGTTTTCTTTCCCGTTGACTCTGTTAATGATACCACTGATTTAGAGAAAGCACTCTCAACCAAGTTAATTAAATCAGCAAAACCATCATTTCCAACAGCGAAGCTCTCATTCCAATCAGCGAGTAACTCCTCAGGAAGCGCCGCATCACCATCCAACACCTGCATCACCAGTCTCATCCGCGGCCTGCAAGATGGTTTTGGATGAGAACAAAGCAGCCCAAGTTTCAACACCAACTCCATTTCCACCGCACTAAATTCTTCCAAATTTGGATCCCTGATATCCAAAATACTACCTTTCCTCCAGTTCTCGTGAACCCAATCCACCAAAATCATCTTCTCAGGCAGAGCTTTGGTCTCAACTGGCCCTCTCCCGCATGCCATCTCTAGCAGAAACCCACCGAATGCGTAAACATCAGTGCTCGTAGTCGCCTTTCCTGTCCTCGTTAGTTCAGGGGCAAGGTAACCCAAAGTTCCAACCACGTGAGTCGTCTGCGGATCGCTGCCATGGTCATAAAGCCTCGATAGTCCAAAGTCTCCCAGCCTCCCATTCATTTGAGAGTCCAGAAGAACGTTGCTTGCTTTAATGTCTCGATGAATCACCACCTGATCCCATTCCTCGTGCAAATGGAAGAGCCCCGATGCAACTCCTTTGATTATATGTAGCCTCTGCTTCCAATCCAGCATTGACTCCGGCTTGTCGAAGAGAAATCGGTCGAGGCTGCCGTTGGGCATGAAGTCATAGACTAGAAGAAGCTCTCCCTTGCGCCGGCAATATCCGAGAAGCTGCACCAAGTTCTGATGCCGGAGGTGGCCGATGCTGATGATCTCTGCAACAAACTGCCGCATCCCATGCCTTGTCTCGTGTGAGATTTTCTTAACCGCGACATGGGTTTTCGTTCTCGGCAGGACTCCTTTGTAGACCCTCCCGAATCCCCCGGCCCCCAAAAACTCTTTCTCTCCGAACCCCTTAGTCGCTATGTATAGGTCTTTGTAGGAGAATCTCTGAGGTCCATGCTCCTGCTCCCAATCCTCGAGCAGCTCTGCGAATTTGATCTTTTTCCTAATCAAAATAAAAGCACAAGTAGCAAAACCAGCCACCACAAGCATGGCTCCCCCGATAGCCGGCAGACCGTATTTGATCAGCAGCTTTGATTTCGGCGTGGTAATGATTATCGGCAGCCGCGGCAGTAGCGAAATATCAATGGCTACATCTCTTCCATTCAGCGCAAAGCTCCAGCCAAAAAGGTAATGCGAGGCAGGGAAAGATCCGACGGCGGAGGAGAAACCGATGTGCATGTAATCTGTGATGAAAGATGAAAGATTTACGAATGAAGACAGGAGAGGGACGCTCGGCTTTTTCAACTCCAGCGGTGCCAATGTTACATTGAGCAAGCATTCGAACTGATCATATTCAACCCAGGCCTGAAATAGATTCCCCGACGCAAGGGTTAGGTTTTGAGTCCCAACACCATCAGAGAAGTACGAAGCGCTTGCAGAGTAAACCGATCGGAGACTGTTGACATCTATACCGACGTGGTTGTTATTGATGTCGTCGAACTCGGGGCTGTAGTTTGTATCGAACTCGACGGCGATGAGGTGATTGGAAAGTTTGCCCTGGTCTGATTTATTGAAAAGGCCGATGTACTGGCTGGGGAGAGCAGGAGTGAGGTCGGAGGAAGCGGAGAGGACAAAGGCGATGCCGTGGCCGGTGAGATCTGGGTACCTGGGGACGATGGCGAAGACAAAGGAGGTGGAGAAGGAAAGAGCGGCGGCGGAGGAGGCGTTCTTGAACGGTAAGGGATATGGATAGAAGGCGTGACCCATGTCTTGATCGGTCGGCTCGGTGAGCTGGAGGAGGCCTGTCGATGTCACGGTGGCCATTCCGTCGAGGAGTAGGTTCGCGCTGGCGAAGCCGTTGAAGACGAAGTTGGTAGTGTGGTCTGATGCACTGGCGGTGATCATGAGCCGTGTGACAAAGAGGAGGGGGCAGATTAATGGGAGCATGGCGGAGGTAATCCGTTCTCTGTTCTTGGTGGCCTGAGGCGGCGAACGGCTGAACAGAGGAATGACATGAGAAGGTGGAACATGTTAATTAGAATATGCTTCTCATTGAAATAATTAATGTTTAGTGGTAAGTGAGTGACCATTTTGTCTTGTTTAATTCAATTTACTTTTTTCCTCGGTTTAATTGTTGAAATAATAATAAACATTGAGTTACATTAAAAAATATCTTTAGAGAAGCACCATTTTGTCGTTGTATCTTCCCCGCAACATCGTGGGCATATTAGTTTATTAAAAGCATTTACTTATATGTTAAAACTACAATAAATTTATCTTAAATAGAAGTTGATGTAATATAAATTGTTTGTGTCAATATCGGTTTGATAGTTCGTTTGATCACTGATTTTGTATTCATAATTGGATTATTTAGGATTGCACCGTATGAGCTCGATGTGCGGACTTAACTCGATCAGGTTGGTATACATGGCTGAGATCTATGCTGATTGCATCAACTTGATCAAAGCAACCATTATAAATGGTATGCCATGGCTAAACCGATTTGAATCATGAACATGTTCTAGTGGTCACATTCCAGAATTCTATATGAGAGTCAACTGGAATCTTGAATGAGAATTCAGGACATCAAGAAGAGACGAGAGCATCTTCTCTTTCTTGGGGGAGAATCACGATTCCTTTTCAGTGTTTAGAGTGGCTTTCATTACAAAAGAAAAACTAGTTGAATTTTGCGTTGACTTGAAAAAGTTGAAAGAGCTAATAATGGATTTAAATAAGTTGAAAGAGCTAATAATGGATATTTTAGCCATTGTTAATACTCTACTCCTAACACTCAAGGGAAGAAAGTTTTGCCAAGGCTAACCTCATCTACTAGTATTGGTTGTGTAGTACCCTTCGAAAGATAAAGAAGTTCATTTGTCAATTCTTGCATAAGAAAAGAGATAATATTTTCTGTGATTGATGTATTATCAACAACTTCAATAATTTCTTTTTGTTGAAATTCTTGTGGAATCTAGATGTGTGTAAAATATGATGTTGTAATTTCAAAAAAATTTCAAACTTTTTTTTTTTTATCATTTTTATGCATTTCTAGAATATATGTGGTATTATAAGCAATATACAAGAAAATATTGAACAATTGAAGTAAAATGGAGCTAATGCATAAAGTGCATCTAGATTAAACACCGCAACAACCATTGCAAGAATAATTTAGTCCATAATTTTAAGAGCAAGGACAGTCAACGCCAGAAGCAAGGGCCTCAGCACCTCCGTGCAACTAAAACCCATCACTACCCCACTCGAAGACCTCACGTGACGAATCAACACAACAAAATATAATGCCCAAACTAGCCCTTTCATGCCCCTTGCCATTGAAGTGTAGCTTTTTTTATCAAATTCTGAAAAATATGCATAAATGCTTCTATCTTGAAAGAATGTGTCACCTTTCATTTGATCTTGAGAATATATTCTATTACTATTATTATTCTTTATAATGTCTCTGCATCTGTTGTTATTGATATCGTCCTTGCTAAAATGAATGTACATTCTGATTATGTTATTTATGTTGTATCTACATCTATTTTTTTTTTTTGTCTACAGTTGATACAATTCTTAAATTTCTTGCAATGATTTCATGTGGTTTCGACTTATTAGGTTTTTCCTAAAAGGTAAGTTGGTTAGTCTCTACTTGTAAATTGGTTGTTTTACTGAGCAAATTCTAAAAAGTCTTGATTGTAACTCTTCGGAGAAAGAAAGCCATAGGTCAATGGACACTATTGAGTAGATATCTATTGCATGTTTTTTTGAAAGTTGTTATTCACACTTCATGCTCAAATTTCTTCACCTTGAAATCCACTCCATAAGGGAATCCCTATGTTTTTGTTTCAAAACAGCGAAACCAACGAAAATGATATGGTGTTGAGCTCTAATAAACTTCTTGACAAACAAATTCTTTAGTTTTGCAAAGATATTTTAAGTCTCATTTGAAAATTCAAAATAATAGTCAAAAGCTACTCTAGTAAGGCTCCTAATGAATTATTAAACTAAGAGGACATCACTTCCCTCTAAATTGTATAAACTAGCCATAAAATGTGCAATGTGTTGTTGAAGATTTCTTGTTCTTTCAATGGCTTTGAATAATGAAGGTACAAATCCTTTTGGATGTTGTAAATATCATAAACTTAAGAGTATTATCTAACCTTTAGAATTGATGCACCAAGCTATGATTGGGCTAATGCTTCACCTCATGTTCAACCATTTGTTTGATATGTTTCTCTTTTACAAAGTATTGCTTCTTTCTTTCCTTGTTAATTATCTTCACTATAAATATTATTTGTTTTTTTTCTATCCATGATCTATATAACCACCATTTGGTTAGCTTTAATAGGCTAAATTTTGAGGTAACGTAGGCAGACAATGAAGTGTCAACAAGGGTTTCATCATTTCTTCCGCTTTTGTTCTCCAAAAAAACTAATAAGCTCATGTTTTTCTTCCAAAGTCTTTGTAAAAAAATCTACTTAATATTCTTCTTTATTTGTTATTGGTACACCTCTTAATCGACGAAGCATGAGTTTCCTTAGCATTAACTATTTTATATTCCACATTCATTAAGTCTTCCAAGTCATCTTCATTTTCCTTCATCAAATATTTTTTCCTTACCTATTCAATCTTATCCAAAATTTCTCTTTCTATCACACATATTTTTCTTTTTAGTAATTTATTCTTATTCTAAATTCTTAATGCCTGCACTGAGCTCATCAAGAAATTCATCTATAGGGCATCTGATGCGGGTGATTTTATGTGCGTTATAAATGTTTTTGAATACCACAATAGACATGACAACTATATTAGAAAATGTGTAGATCAATAATAAAAAAAATTACTTCAGTATAATCAATTTTCTCTTTTTAAAATCAGTAAAGCCGCCACTCCTAGTGAATTAAGCTGTATTTTTAATTTCAAATATACATATCACTCAAGTAATAAATCTTCACTAGGTTGCAAACACAAGTATACATATCACTCAATTAATAAAGAGCTCTAATAGAGTCCTAAGTATCGATCCCACAAGGAGGTGAAAATTCTTATGATAATAACACAAAAACACAATATTTAAACTAAAAAAACCTTATGTTTTTTTTAATGCCACTAAAGAAACTATGTTTACTACACTAATCTCTAAACTTCAACGATAAATTTACTAAAACTAAATTAAGTTTTGTGACGAAGGGTTCAAATTTAAGAAAGCATCATTCCCCTTACAATAAGGTTGTAGTCAGTGAATTATCAGATTGTAGAAAATTGTATTGTCTCAAGTAGGAGCAATTCTATTCTTTATTCCTTTTACAAGCGAAAAAGAACATTTGCTAATCCAATGTTTGGTCCTTAAATCCGCGGTTAGGCTAGGAAAATAGTGGCTCTCACACCAGAGTTCCCACATTCCCCTCACTTAAGGGCTAACATCTCGTTGTAATTTCCAAATGCCTGGACCAAATTGGGGATTTTAGTGTGTAATTTTAAAATCTTCAATTCTATACCCATCAATAAATATTTCCCTATTTATTTGCACTCAAATTCATGGACTACATTCTCATCCATGAAATCAAATGTGATTATTACTTTGTTGTAGAAAGTATAACCCACTCCGATCGTATGTTTCATAACAAATTTTAATAATTCAATTGGTCAGATCATAAAGTAAACAAATTTTAGAGTTTAAATCATCACAATTATGAAATTAAAAAATTACACAATAATCTTGATCTTTCACATGACTATATCTCTTTGTAGCGAGAAGGACAAAGCAATCTACTCAGAATTCATGAGGAAGATACAACAAAACATGGATTTTCTTTATAAAAATAAGTTTACAAAACAAAAAAAAGTAAAGTAAAAGAACTTAACTCAATCTCCACCCCAAGAAAATTCCTTGAAGTTCATTTGAATCACTTTCTCTCTTTACAATAACACTCAATTCTCTCTTAGAAATGTAATGAAGAAGAAATCTCTCACTTTCCCTCTTCTCTTACAACTCTTGAAGAAGGTCTTCTCTAACACTCTCCAAACACTCCCAAACACTTGATACACACGCCACCCCTGTTTCTAACATAAAAACACTCTTTTATAATGTAGGAACGAATTTTGAAGAGTTTCCTTTGACACCCCTTTAAAATCTGTCCAAATTCAATGCATTTGGGAAAATAACCACTTGGGCACTGAAATCTAATGCCTAGGTGCCATCTTCTCTTGATTCTGGCACCTATGTGTCAGTTCAATTTTTGAAAACATTATATTTTGACTCCAAATTTTGTTCTTTTTACTTCTTTTAAGCTCTAAATGTCTTTACTTAGTATACCTGCAATAAAACATGAAAATAAATTTCTTTAAATAAACTTAACTGTTACATGTCCTCAAGTAACTTTTTTTACTACATAAAAAAGTATGACTTAAGGTAGTGAGCATCACTTAAATACTTCTATAGTATTTATTTTATAAAAACAATAATAAGAGTTTAGAAAAATTTTTAATAACATAGGTTGAAACTAAAGATGTAAGAATATTTAGTAATCAAGTCTAAGAGTTTTGATTTCTTATTCATTGCAAGAATAAATGTAATTCGTCATATTAATGATGGTTAGAAGAATTATATGAAAAAAAATTTCATGAGGACATCATTAGTAAAGATGTCAATACTTTAATATATGTTTAGAAATGTAATTAAGCCTCTTTCCTTAAGCTGATTCAAGTGAAATTAACTTTTTGTTAGACATCTCCTCAAGCTTCTCCTCACATCTAATATTTATTTTATTTTGATTTTGCTTTTATTTTTTTTCTTTTTGGATCATTTTCAATCCTTTCATTAATTTTTTTTTTCATGCAAGGATTACTATAACTAAATAGCCTTTAATGATTTTAAACTTCACTATTCTCTTCTTAAAGTTAAAAAATTTCTCACATTTCTTACTTATAAATGCATATTAGCTTTGAAAAAGATTTTTCATAAAGTCTCAAATTTACTTTTAATATAACTCTAAGATTCTCAACTCTAAGATTCTCTTTAATATTTAAAAAATACAATTTCCTTTACTTTAAATAGTAAACACATAACCTTATACTCTTATATTAAATATCTTAACTTTTAGAACTAACCTTCATTATTAAAGATTTTTACTTAAGTCCACAATCATATTTATAAAATCAAAAAAGTTATGTTAAAAATA